ATTTTAAAATAGTGTTTTTGTTTTCTTTAGATAAACACCCAGAAGTGGAATTGCTGAATTACAGAATAGTTTCTTTTTTTTTTTTAAGGAATCTCTATAATGTTTTCCATAGTAGCTGCATTAATTTACAATCTCACCAACAGTGCATGAGAGTTCCCTTTTCTCCACATCCTCACCAACACTTTTAATTCTTGACTTTTTAATGATAGCCACTCTAACAGGTGTGAGGTAATATCTCATTGAGTTTTGATTTACATTTCCCTCATGATCAGTGATATTGAGCATCTTTTCATGTGCATATTAGTCACCTGTATGTCTTCTTTGTGGAAATGTCTATTTAGAACCTCTGCCCATTTCTTAATTGTTATTGAGTTGTTTTTGTTATTGAATTGTATGAGTTTTTATACTCTTTGAGCATTAACCCCTTATCGAATATATTATTTGCAAATATAGTCTCCCATTCACTAGGTTGTCTTTTCCTTTTGTTGATAATCTCCTTTGCTGTGCAGTAACTTTTTAGTTCGATATAGTCCCACTTGTTTATTTCTTCTTCTGTCATCTTTGCTTTTAGAGTCATATCTCTCAAAAATCGTTGCCAAGACCAATGTCAAGTAGCCAACTGCCTGTGTTTCTTATAGGATTTTTGTGTTTTCAGGTTTTACATTTCAAGTTTTTAGTTAATTTTGTGTATGGTGTAAAATAGTGGTCTATTTTCATTCTTTCTGTGGCTGCCCAATTTTCCCAACACCATTTATTAAAGAGACTGTCCTTTCCACATTGTATATTCTTGCCTCCTTTGTCATAAATTAATTGACCATATATACATGGGTTTATTTCTTACTCTCTTTTCTGTTCCATTTATCTATGTGTCTGTTTTTATGTCAACGCCATACTGTTTACTATAGCTTTATATTACAGTTAAAAGTCACTAAGTATGATACTTCCAATTTTGTTCTTCTTTCTCAAGATTGTTTTGGCTATTTGGGGTCTTTTTTCATTTCATACAGTTTTAGGATAGTTTGTACTATTTCTGTGAAAAATGCCATTGGAATTTTGATACGGATTTCATTAAATTTGTAGATTGCTTTGCATGTACAGACAGTTTAACAATATTCTTCCAGTCCATGCGCGCATGGAATACCTTTCCATTTATTTGTATCTTCTTCAGTTTTTTCAACAGTGTCATAGTTTTTAGTGTAGATCATTCCCATAATTGGTTAAATTTATTCCCAGGCATTGTATTCTTTTTGATGCAATTGTATATGAATTGTTTTTTTTTTTTTAAATTAAATCTTTATTGTTCAGATTATTACAGTTGTTCCTCATTTTTCCCTCCATAGCTCCCCTCCACCTGGTTCCCACCCCACCCTCTGCCCTTACCTTCCCACTGTCCTCATCCATAGGTGTACGATTTTTGTCCAGTCTCTCCCTGCACC